CAGGAGGTGAAGGCAGCGAGAAGCAAAAATTAAGGATAAAATGAGTTAGGATTTTGGAGAGAGATAATTGATCCGCTTAGATATGATACTGTTCTAGCTTTTTAAACATTGAAATTGTGTCAATATGCTAAGAAAATCTCAATATACTGTGAATATTTGCTAAAAGATGGTAAATACTCACAAAAACTTATGGGAATATTACTTCCACTATTTTAACTTAATCTTTCACATTAAGATGGTGTCGACATATTAAGAAAATATTGACACAGTGTGAATAGTCACTAAAAAGTCACAAAAAGGTAACAAAAATTTTATAAATATAAAAAAGTCACAAAAAGGTATTAATAAATAAAGGCAACAGAAAAATAAAGATAACAAAATGTATCAAGAAACAAAGAAAGATAACAAAAAATGTAACAAAAGTCATGACAAAGTATCATTAAACAAAGGCATCAATTAATAAAGAAAGGTAACATAAATTAAAGAATGCAACAGGAGTCACAAAAAGGTATCCTTAAATAAAGGTAACTAAATAAAGATAACAGAAAAATGAAGGTAACAAAATGTATCAATAAAAAAACAAAAGTCATGAAAAGATATCATTAAATAAAGATATCAATAAATAAAGAAAGATAACAAAATTTTTAACAAATGTAACAAGAGTCACAAAAAGGTATCATTAAGTAACAAGAAATAGCGGTAACAAAATTTATATTAATAAAAAAAGAAAAATAACAAAAGTCACAAAAAGATAACATTTTAATAGACAAATAAAGGTAAGAAAAGTCATGAAAATGTATCAATAAATAATGAAAGGTAAAAAAATGAACGAAAAGGTATCATTAAATAAAAGTAGCAGAAAATTAAAAGTAAGAAAATAAAGGTAACAAAATGTATCAACAAAAAAACAAAAGTCATGAAAAGATATCATTAAATAAAGATATCAATAAATAAAGAAAGATAACAAAATTTTTAACAAATGTAGCAAGAGTCACAAAAAGGTATCATTAAGTAACAAGAAATAGCGGTAACAAAATGTATATTAATAAAAAAAAGAAAAATAAAAAAAGTCACAAAAAGATAACATTTTAATAGACAAATAAAGGTAAGAAAAGTCCTGAAAATGTATCAATAAATAATGAAAGGTAAAAAAATGAACGAAAAGGCATTATATTAAATAAAAGTAGCAGAAAAGTAAAAGTAAGGAAATGTATCAATAAATAAAGATGGTAACCAAAGTCATGAAAAGGTATCATTAAATAAACATATCAATTCATAATGAAAGGTAACAAAAGTTAACAAATGTAACAAGAGTCGCAAAAAGGTATCCTTGAATAAAGGAAGCAGAAAAATAAAGGTAACAAAATGTATCAATAAACAAAGAAAGGTAACAAAGGTCATGAAAATGTATCATTAAATAAAGGCATCAATAAATAATAATATCAATTCATAATGAAAGGCAACAAAAGCTAACAAATGTAACAAGAGTCGCACAAAGGTAACAAGAGTCGCAAAAAGGTATCCTTGAACAAAGAAAGCAGAAAAATAAAGGTAATAAAATGTATCAATAACCAAAGAAAGGTAACAAGTGTCATGAAAAGGTATCATTAAATAAAGGCATCAATAAATAACGATATCAATTCATAATGAAACGCAACAAAAGTTAACAAATGTAGCAAGAGTCGCACAAAGGTATCTTTGAAGAAAGAAAGCAGAAAAATAAAGGTAACAAAATGTATCAATAAACAAAGAAAGGTAACGAAGGTCATGAAAAGGTACCATTAAATAAAGGCATCAATAAATAATGATATCAATTCATAATGAAAGGCAATAAAAGTTAACAAATGAAACAAGAGTCGCACAAAGGTATCCTTGAACAAAGAAAGCAGATAAATAAAGGTAACAAAATGTATCAATAAACAAAGAAAGGTAGCAAAAGTCATGAAAAGGTATTAATAAATAAAGGTGTCAATAAAGAAAGAAATCTAACAGAAATTTTAACAAATGTAACCAGAGACACAAAAAGGTATCATTTAAATAAAGGCAACAAAAAAAATAAAGGTAACAAAATGTATTAATAAACAAAGAAAGGTAAGTCATGAAAAGATATCATTGATAAAGGTATCAATTAATAAAGAAAGGTAACAAAATTAATAAATGTAATAAGAGTCACAGAAAGGTATCATTAAATCAAGGTAATAGAAATATAAAGGTAACAAAATGTATCAATAAATAGAGAAAGGTAACAAAAGTCATGAAAATATATCATTAAAAAAAGGTATCAATAAATAAAGAAAGGTAACAAAATTTTAACAAATGTAACATGAATCACAAAAAATTATCATCAAATAAAGGTAACATAAGGTGTCAATAAACAAGGTAACAAAAGCCACAAAAAGGTATCATTATTTAAAGGTATTAATTACTAAAGAAATGTAACAAAAATTAACAAGGGAAATTTGCTTTGAGGAATAAAGAAAGGTAACAAATTTTAACAAATGTAACAAGAATCACAAAAAAAATTATCATTAAATAAAGGTAACATAAGGTAACAAGGTAACAAAAGCCACAAAAAGGTATCATTATCTAAAGGTATTAATAATTAATTACTAAAGAAATGTAACAAAAATTAACAAGGGAAATTTGCTTTGAGGCCCCTTTTTGAACTACAAATTTTAACAAATGTAACAAGAATCACAAAAAAAAAAACCTCTTCCTTGTGTGGAAAAGACTATAGTAACAAAATGTTAACAAATGTAACAAGAATCACAAAAAATTTATCATCAAATAAAGCTAACATAAGGTGTCAATAAACAAGGTAACAAAAGCCACAAAAAGGTATCATTATTTGAAGGTATTAATTAATAAAAAAATGTAACAAAAATTAACAAGAGAAATTTGATTTGAGGTCCCTTTTTGAACTTTTTGCCCCCCCCCCACCCCCCCAAAAAACCAACCAAGAAAACCACTTCCTTGTGTGGAAAAGCCTATAGACCGCACCTTTTCTACTCTCCTTCCTTCCTTCCTCTCCTTTCTCCCCTCTTTTTCTCCCTAAAATATCCCCATCATCAACCTCTCGTCTCTGTACTCCACTTTAACCCTCTCGTCTCCCTACCTCCTCTTCAACCTCCCATCTCCTCGCCTTCCTCCTTTACCTCCATTCTTTTCAACTCCTCACTTTCTCCACTTTCACTTTGGTGGCTTTACCCTCCTCTCCACCTCCTCCTTCACATTCATCATCCTCATCTCTTCCTCCTACTTTACCTTGACTTCTTATTCCAAAATATCACCTTTAAACTCTCATCTCCCTACTCCTCTACAACCTCTCATCCCCATCTTTTAGACCGTACTTTTTTACTGCTTTCTTCCTCCCTCTTTCTCCCTAAAATATCCTCATCTCCATACTCCTCTTCAACCTCTCGTCTCCGTACTACTCTTCAGCCACCACTCATCTCATTGCCTTCCTCATTTACCTCTATCCTCCTCCTCCACTTTCACTTTTGTGACTTTGCCATCCTCTCCACCTCCTTTCCCACCTTCACCCTCCTCTCCCCCTTCTACTTCACCTCAACTCCTTGTTCCATCTCCTCTCCCTCCTCTTTCCTTCACCTCTCCCTTCGCCCATACATCCTCTTTCCTTCACCTCTCCCTTTCCTTCACCTTCTCCTTTCTCTCTGACATCTCCATCCACACCATCTCATCTTTCTTTATTAACCGCTACCTCCTTCGAAGGTCCACTCTCTCGTCTAAAGTCGTTCTTCGTTAGAGTCACGCAGAAGTTAATAAAAATAATTAAAAATTAATAAATAGTATTAAAGTTAATAAAAAATAGCTAAATTTTAACAAAAATCAACTACAAATTAATAAAAACTGCTGAAGTTAAAATATGACAACTTAGAGTTAACAAATACACTGAAATTAACAACTAGCAACAAAAGTTAAATATATATTTTTGTTAACTTTGACGTTTTTGTTAACTTTAATTAATTTTTATTAACTCTGATTATTTTTTGTTAACTGTAAACTTTTTTTGAACTTTAATTGTCACTTGTTAACTTTTGTCTAATTTTTGTGAACTTTAATTTTTTTGTTAACTTTTAACTATGTTGTTAACTTGGTTGTGACTTTGAATGAAGGATGATGACAGAGGAAGAGAAAGAAGGAGGGGTGAATGAGGATGGAAGTGGAGGTAGAGGAAGGAGAAAGGAGGCAGGAGGTGCATGGGAAAGAAGGAGGGGTGAATGAGGATGGAAGTGGAGGTAGAGGAAGGAGAAAGGAGGCAGGAGGTGCATGGGCGAAGATCGTGGAGGAGAGTAGGAAAAAAATATAGATGGAGGAGGAAGAGGAGAAGACAGAGTAAAAGTAGGACGGTGAAGGAGAATGATAGAAGGAGAGCGGAGGTGGAAGATGCCTAGGAGGAAGAGAGAGAATGGGGTAGGTGGGCGAAGGAGGTGATGGAAGAGGAAGAGAGAAGGATAGCAAAGAAAAAGTTTGAGGAGGCGGAGGAGAGGAGGAGGCCAAAGGCTGGGCAGAGGTGGAGGAGGGAGGAGGAGGGAGGAGGAGGAAGAGAGGAGGAAAGCAAAGATAAGTTAGAGAGGGAGGAGAGGAGGCCAAAAGTTAGGTGGAGGTGGAGGTGGAGGTGAAGGAGGAGGAGGAGAAGAGGGATGAGGACAAAAGTGAAGAAAAGAAAAGAGGTGAGAGGTTAAAGAGGAAGGAGAGATGAGTGTTTTGAGGATAAAATGAAGAAAAGGGAGGAGAGGAGGGGGAGTACAAAAGGTGTGGTCAGTGGGGTTTTCACACAAGAGCTGGTCAAGGGGAGGGACGAGCAAAATGTTCATAAAGGGGGCAGTACAAAAGGTGTGGTCAATGGGGTTTTCACACAAGAACTGGTCAAGGGGAGGGACGAGTAAAATGTTCATAAAGGGGGCCTCAAAGCAAATTTCTCATTTAACAAATGTAACAAGAATCCACCTACTACAGGTCAATGGGGTTAACGGTTTTCGTGAACCATTAAGCCAAAGCTAACAATTAAAAAACTAATAAACAGTCTTCACCTGTAGGAATCCACCTACTACAGGTCAGGAGAAGTAACGACGAGATCATCAACGAAACGAAGTAACGATGAGATTATGAACAAAACAAGTCGCCAAGGCTGCATGCAAGTAGAAAACAATTGCTCTTGACACAATATTCACTTATCAAAGATATCTAAATAAGAATACATATGCTCTTGACACAATAGTCACTCATCAAAGATATCTAAATAAGAACATGCATGCATGTATATTCAATTTATGTATATATACATATGCATGCACACGCACGCGTGCACACATAAACATACATACATAAATACATACATACATAATATTAAGGTTTCAAAGCACAGAGCCTTCAATTTAATAACTCCAATAAATCATAAGCCTTAAAATTTATGCAGGAATTGAGAGACCGTAGAAGATTAAAAAATATAGTGACACCAATAAACTTTTAGGCAGTATATAAATGCTTAATTACAATCCCAAGTACTGCAAATTTAGAGGGCGTGTGTAAGGATATAAAGTAGAATCTCTATATAATTGGTATGCATTTACTAATTACATATAAATCGGCAAAATTGCTTAATTATTTTGAGAAGAGCACTTTTGGGCATAAAACATTATGCTGCAAGTTTTCAAGAAACTCTTAAAGTGCAATAGCTACAATATTACTAAACAGATAAAAAGTAAAAACAAGTATTCATCGTCCAAAACAATAATAACAATGAAAAGGAAACCAATTAAGTTACCGCATCTTCAAGCAATACAAGAAGCTAAATAATCAAGATATTTTTAGCTAAATACACTCTAAACATTCAGTGCTCTTCAGATATTCTTAACGATGATGCAACCTGTCTCAAGTTATCCGTTCTGATCCTCAAAAATCTGCTTTTAAGTTTCTTAACATGTATAATCTATGCATTTACATAGAAACTCAGAACAAAGTTATCTAATATCACCTTAATAGCAATTTCCCATTATACCCGACTCAATATTTGATGGATCTCATGAAGCTATGCTTGGCGTGTGGAAACCCAAAAAGAACCAAGAAACTAGAGGAGAGAACAAGAAAAGACTCGTGTCTGAGAGGCATGTGAGTGTATAAAATTCATGTTTTCTCAAAGGATGCCTAAAGACTAAGTATATTTAGATCCTTTTTGTTCCAATCCGTCGCAACATATTGTAACAACTGTAAGCAACTGACACGACATATTATTAACCTGAATTTGAAGTTAAAAACTAGCAAAACAAGCGTGAGACTTTTGTAGACTTAACAGTCCAAAATCACATGAAGCAGGAAAGTCTATCACAATAAAAAATAATAATAATACATATAAATCAAGAAGTAAACAAGTAATAAGTGAGAGCTACCTTAAGTTCTTCATCATCAACTTTAACTGATAATAGTTTAAGATCATGACCATTAAGCACCAAGAGGACAAGAAACACCTGCATCCACAGATAAATGACCAGAAACATTCTTTTAGTGCAAGGAGTGATAATTCAATAGCTTCAAGTACTGACACAAGTAAAAAGAGTCAAGTCTACTATTAGATGTAAAGCCTCTACAACACAGACAACGTTGTTGTAATGCTAAAAGATGCAATGAAGAAAAGTCAAACTCATAATTAGTGAATTGACAATAAATTACAAAATTAGTGATGTGTTCACCTTCAACACCAGGGAAAACGGTAATATTTGACTAGGCTATTGTTCTGTCCTCATTGAGTGTAAATTTCAAATCGACCTGGAGCAATTCGAGAAGCAAAGCAAGGGTGAGCTAGTTTCCGAAACAAATCAATGATTTCTCAGTATAATGTGGATATGGTGTTTAACAACGCCAGCTAAAAGAGAACATTATGAATAAGGAAAGAGAAAAATCATGTCTCTTCTATTATTAATGTGAGTTGAGAAAAAACAGTAATGTGTACTACAGATAATGGATCCAGTCTTCTTAGCCGAAAAGGAACTATATGAAGATGCTATTTACTAATACACAACCTGTGTTATCTTTATTAAAATGAAACCTACAAAATTTTATGGTCTGTATCAAACCTCACAATGGTACGAAGAATTATGGCCAACAGAAATTGTAAGAGAAATAAATAATGCGTGTAGACCCCGGGATTCCTTTTGCGATGCAGCTAAAATATATTTATCATTATCTAGTCACAAGTAGCTATAATAATCCAATCGATTATCAATAACATGAAAGAGGGTTAACTGCACATAGAATTATCCATGCGAATTCCATTTTTTTTTATATTTCTTATGCTAAACCATGTGATCATACAGAACATACTTCATCCCTTTGCTTAATACAAAGGACATGCAATTAACTGTGGCAATTATTAATTAAACATTAGATGTGGATTGTATCTTTCATCCAGAAAAGACGACATTAGTAACTAAGCTACTGGCTTACTATCTATCAAACATAACTAATCAATAAGCTAAATGAGAAAAGATCCACAACAAGAGGGCTTAGTAATAAGAAAATTGTTATTCATTGATTAGTCAGCTTATTATAAAATCAGCTGCAGGAAGAATTATTAACAAAGACATAACAACAACAGTATCTTTTGCTGCAAATAGAGCAGAGAAAGGTTTGTATTAACAGTGGCTATGAATTGCGCTTACTTGTCGTCCTTCAGAAAGATCTCTTCAGGAGAAAATCCATCCTTGGCTCTTCAGCCTGGGATGGCCTTACTTGTCGTCCTTCAGAAAGATCTCTTCAGGAGAAAATCCATCCTTGGCTCTTCAGCCTGGGATGGCACAGGCTGTGCCACTTAACAAATAGAATTTCAGGAGAAAATCCATCCTTGGCTCTTCAGCCTGGGATGGCACAGGCTGTGCCACTTAACAAATAGAACGTTTGCTGGATGCCTTATTTTTCAGAAATGAAAGCAAAGGATTCTGCAAAACTTGGGGGTTAACAGTCAACAAATGATTCTGAATAAAATCAACAATGCAACAGAATCCACATTTGCAATCCTATCAATCAGATGAACAATAAATTAAATGATAGAATGTAATTAATTACCAAAAATAATAGTCAACTTGAAGGGAAAATGCAGAACATTGAATCCTAGGCTCGAAACTCCAATCACCAATATAAATTAACATAAAAGAAAAATTAAATCCCAGGTGTGAGAAAAGAAGAAAGAAAGAAATTGGAAGAGATTAGATATTGAACAGAAAGCAAACTCAAAACCATAACCAAATCCAGAAATCAAAAAATCCTGCAAAAATTGGGAATAAACATTGCACAAAATAAAAATCATAATTCCTTTCGTCAATCAGATAAACAAGAATTAAACGATCGTCAAGAGAACTACATAACATCAGCCAAAAATTGACTATCAAATATATAGAGAGAGGGAGAGAAAAGAGAGAGAAGAGAACTACATAACATCAGCCAAAAATTGACTATCAAATATATAGAGAGAGGGAGAGAAAAGAGAGAGAAATTCTCACTCTAGTTCAAGAACCAAATTGACTATCAAATATATAGAGAGAGGGAGAGAAAAGAGAGAGAAATTCTCACTCTAGTTCAAGAACCAAACTCAAATTCCAAGAAAATATCGAAGAGAAAAAAAACCCAGGTCTGAAAGAAAAAGTGAAAATTCAAAGGGCTACGCTATGAACAACGTGCAAACTCAAAACCACGGCCAGATCCAGCAATCAAAATAACTGCAAAAATTGGAACGAACACTGCACAAAACTGGTTCTAGAAATTCGAACAACCTGACAGGATCCAGAATTGTGAACTTATCAATCAGATTAACAGAAAACTCAATGATCCAAAAGTCGAGTGGACAATCAAATATAGAGAGGAGTTAGATCAAACCATTAGGACCAGCGATAAGCCTCTTGGCCTTGTACGAATTCTCGAGCTTGGATCCAAGGCTAGAATCTCCAGTGACACTATTTGATTCCGCAAAAAGGAAAAGCGAAGAGAGGAAAACCTAGGTCGTCAAAGAAGAGAAAGAAACACAGCAAAATCTAGAAATCAATGAAATCAGAACAAAAAAAAGAACAAAAACTGAACAAATTCGATTCCAGAAATTTCAAGAGCGCAACCAAATCCACATTTGCGATCTTAACAATCAGAGAAACGCTCGAACTCGAACCAAAGGCTCGGGACTCCAATTACGACATCGAACACAAAGGGAAAAGAACCTATGTCTAAAAACAGAAAGAAAAATTAAAACAAAACCACAATGAAATCCAAAATTCGAAAAAAAATTAAGAAATGTGCAAAATTTTGTGAAAAAACGCAGAAAATCGGTTCAAGAAACTAGACGATCGCCTAATTGGATCGAAACTCTCGAACTCGAACCAAAGGCTCGAGACTCCAATCACGCTCATCGAACAGAAACAAAAACCTAAGTCTAAAAGCAGAAAGAAAATTGAGACAAAAACTACAACGAAATCAAAAAATCAACAAAAAATCTGCAAAAATAGGTTAAAACGCACGAAATCGATTCCAGACCTTACACACTTGCGATCTCATCGATCAGATGCACAAGAAAAAGAACGATCGTCAAATTAGAGAAGATCGAGAGAGAGAGAGAGAGAGAGAGAGAGAGAGAGAAGAGTGAGATCAAACCACAAGTATCGCCGATAAGATTCTTGGCGTCCTACGACATTCTCGAACTCGAATCAGAGGCTGGAACTCAGATCGCCATCTTCGAATGTGAGAAACCTATATCTGAGAAGAGAGAAAAGAGGGGAGAAATTCCAATAGAAAAGCGCCCGATTTCTGATCCTCGACTCATATATTTATAGCTTCTCTTCTTCTCTAGGAAGCTTCACCCAAAAAATAGCCGTTCGTCTGAAAAATATCTAATATTTATAGCTTCTCTTCTTCTCTAGGAAGCTTCACCCAAAAAATAGCCGTTCGTCTGAAAAATATCTAATTAGTATCATACCATAATACCATCAATTAATTTATAAAAATTATGAATTAACTGCAGTGGTACTATAATGTTCTCTGCTCCGTGATTCGCGAACAGTGGCGGGGCATGTAAATTTACTTTAAGTTAGGTGGTTAATAGAAAGATGAGAGGGCGTGAGAATGCATTCCCTAGTTAGAGCATCTCTCCTCAAAAATCCAAAATAGTGTAGTATCATACCATCATACCATTAATTAATTTATAAAAATTATGAATTAACTGCAGTGGAACTATAATGTTCTCTGCCCGTGATTCGCGAACGCGAAAAGTGGCCGGGCATGTAAATTTACTTTAGTTAGGTAGTTAATATAATGATGAGGGGGCCCGGGGGGCATTCGCTAGTTAGAGCATCTTCAACGGAAAATTTTAAAACGGTGTAGTGTAGTTTTTACACCAAATTATTATTTCATCTCCAACACATTATATCAAAATTTACACCAAAAAGTATATTCATTTTATTATTCTTATCTTTTAACTTTTTTTTTAGAAAAATCTTTTAACATTTTTATCTATTCAAAATATTTAACAAATTATTTTATTTTAATAATTTACACCAAATTTTACACCAAAAAAATTTTATTTTATTAATTATTTTATATTATAATTTCTTTATAAAATTTAAAAATAAAAAAAATTAAATGGAATAATATGAGGTTAATGAATGATATAATAGGATACAATAGGTATTTTTAATTTGTTATCACATAGTTTAAGGGTGAAATCGAAAAAACAAAAAAATTCTAAAGCTACAGTGTTGCGCCATTCCCAGCGCAACACTGTAGCACCTCATCAATTTAACGTGTGATTTAGCAACCGATTGGAGGGAGTTTTTTGTGCTAAAATAGGTTTTAGTGCTAAATTGCAGCTCCATTGGAGACGACCTTAGCACTAGCCGCGAATTGTAGTGAGGTGCAAGAAAAAATACCCAAATGTGAGTGCATCCTGAAAGATTACGACAATAATCAAGGGAAAATACCTTATTTAGAGTTAATTTCAAGCTGAATGCATTTCTATTTTCGCGTCTTGAATTTTTAAAGTGAAAGTATATCTATTTCCCTACTTTTATTTTGTATACTTTTGTTTTTATCTTTTTTATGTACTTAGAATTCTTCGTATCCATGTGAGGAAATTTACGACATTCCTTTGTTTCTCTAGCTTTGGCTAGTATGTATAAGTTTGTTTTTCCCCCAATATTGTTATGAACAAAATAGATTCCTGGGCGCCATAGGTTGTCATGTTATATGCAAAAATGAGTTTCTCAGTCGTAGGAAGATGTGAAAAGTAATTTTATTCATTTATTATAGAAAGAGCATGTTTGACAACTAGTCAAAATGTGGCTTATAAGCCACTGAGATGTATTTGGCAAATAGGTTATTATATATGACTTATATGCCGAAACTAAATAAGCTAGGTAAACCCAGTTTATTTTTTGGTGGCTTAGAGCATCTCCAACAGCTTCCTTAAAAATTTCTCCAAAATAGGGAAACAAAAGTCATATTCTTCAAATTATTTTTGCTCCAACTCCAACAACTTCCCCATTTTGAAGAATCCTGCATTTTATTACAATAATGATAATAATATTCTACGTCTTTGACATGAACTTTAACAATAAAGATTTAGACATGAACTTTTTGTTTTTGCCCCCTTATTTTATAGTGTTGAGTCGTTTTTGAGTAGTTGGAGACTTGAAGAACGTGAAACATTTATGACAAATCTCTCCCTAAAAATTTGAAGAATATTGCAGATTTGAGGAAGACTCTCCTTCCTCCATCCCTATTTTGGGGAATGAGATGGGAAATCTGTTGGACAAAAAAAATCCAAAATTCTCCAAAAGTGGGAATACCAATAAAATGGGGAAGCTGTTGGAGATGCTCTTAATACAAAATCAAGATATAATCGATAATTTAATGTGTATATTTATCGAAAATGAAAGGAGAAATTAAGTTTATAAAGTTAAAGACTTAATAATGATATACTTCGACTTGTAAATTTTCATAATCTCAAATTAACAGTACCAATTTATCTGTCGTAAACAAAATCTGACTGAGGTACGTAAAGAAATACTCAAAAGATTAGCGGGGTATATAATTTTCAGAAGATAAAGAAGGAATCCTTATTTGTATAGAAATCTTATAGAGAATCTTTGGTGAATGAGAAGATCGAGGATGCTCTTGTGACTGGTGAGGCAAAATGTCGCAAGTTGGAGTCATGAACAAACGCACCATTTAATAGAAAAGCAAGAGTGGAGGTTATCCACCTTACAAGTTACAACGACAAACGACCAAACAATGTGGTGAAATTATGACTAGAAAAGACCAATATTTCCTCTCTCTCTCTCTCTCTCTCTCTCTGGTGGGATAAGAATTCAGAAAATATTGTTACTGTTAAAATCTTATTCGGGACATCAGAATCCTAAATTTCTGAAGACATGCCGCCTATTGTAGCTACTTAGTTCGGCAAAAGTCCGCCACCATTTTCAAATCCCTGAAGATAATAAGACATCCCAAAATTTTGCTCCAAAGACAACTAATTGCTAGAAGACACCACGCTAAAGATCACCATATTTCTAGCTTTCAAATCTCTCAAAGATATTACAGCACCACGAATTACATAAAGACTTACTGATGTACACACAGAATAATCACATAACTATAGGTGCAAGAGCAAAGGAAATCTTTTCCTACTCTACTTTTTTTTCCCCAAAGAAAATATTTCAATCAAGATTGAAAGGTCAGAAAACCCTCTTGAAAGACCAACCACGCACATAAAGGAAAAAATAAGAAGAAGAAAGGAAAGTTCAATCCTGACACGCATGAACAAACTAGTCTCCAACTTCAACTTCAGAATCAATGACTTTTTTGTTTCAGCAGAAACTCAAAAATAGCACTTACACATGTACATTGGGATGTGCCAAGTCAATCAGTCCATCAACATGACTTTAACTGTTACAAGATCATTGAAACGGGAAAAAGAATTACCATAGCAAACAATAATAAAGAAACACGTTTCCAACGAAAATTCATTCCAACCACAGACTAGACCACAACAGGTTCAATACTGTACACAGGGTTTTCTAGGCTTTCACCATAGTTTTAGAAGTAAAGTACATTGCTTCTGCAAAGGACTGCAGTAGTAGGAGGGTATATAATAAGTGTGCAAAGCTAATACCAGCACTACCTGAGACTTGTCCATCTGTTTTGTGAGTTTCTGATCCAAACGATTGAGGCAGGTGATCATCATCATGGGCTCCTGAGCCCCCCTCACCTTGGGGAGTGTCATCAGGATGTTCATCAAATTTTTTCTCATACTCAGAACCCCCAGCACTACCGTCCCTTGAGATGCCAGGAACTTCGTCAGGCTTTGCGTCTACTCCTACTCGTCTAAGATGAAGCTGTGCAAAATTATAGGTTTAGGACAGAATGCACTAGAAAAACAAACGGTAAATTACAGAAAATCACACAAGGTTTGCATGATAGACACAATAGCCCCCCCTAAGGTACATATTTATAACTGTGTCCCTGTACCCATACCCGTACCCATACCAGCACCCGTACCCCTACCCATGCAACTTAGGTTGAAGGCTTGGCTGTCAGTCATACAAACCTCAAGGGCATTTTCTGTAAATTACCCAAAAACAAATCGCACGATAAGAAAATTTGTAAGATACCTGAAGGTACAAGTTAACCTCATCTGGACGTGAAAGAAATGGAAAATCACCACCACTTCTCAGAATCGCTCGCCTTGCGCCAGGATATCTTTCGGTCACTTGATCTTTTAGTTGTTGTGGAATAGCACAATAGTCATTTGTCTGTGACAAGAATAATCAACTTTAGCAAAGAGAATTCTCCCTGCTGGAGCCACAGTTTAACTGCACAAGTAATTCAAGAACGAAGCATGCATTTCTTACTACCTACTTTTATATTTTAGTAGTATGATAAGTTGATAACTACTTCTATGTTACTTGGGTGATTCTAACTTAAGCTGTATCTGACCAGTACGTACCCACACCCACGCCAACACTCCCTTCAACATTCCTTGAACATGAGTATACACTTTCCTTTAATTGTTCCATTTAAGGACGTGGACTAGGATGGCTAATCAACTTAAGGTCTGATTGACTGCAAACGTTTAACCTTATCTGAGTCGTAAGCGTAAGCATATTTAACAACATAACCATCTAACACTTTTTCCAACGTGGGGCTAAATTCCACCTCGTCTCTTTCTAAACCAAACCTACACTTAACCAAATATGTCAGACACTCGTTTACAAACCTTTAGGGGTAAGTTTCAATAAACCCCCAATACGTTTGGCCCCCAAATAAAAAAAAAATAAAAAAAACCCAACAAACACACAACCAAAAAAAGCCCAAAAAGAACTTTGGCAGTTCCAGAAAACCCCTCAAACGTTTCTTTCTTCTCACTTAATCCCCATAACGGCATCAGCCCATGTTCGAGCTACCGAGAATATCACATAAACATCAAAAATATGTTTTGGGGTTTTTTTCTGAAATCCCCCAACTTATTGGAGGTTTAGTGAGAGTTTCAAACTTTTTGGTGTTATGCGCCAAATGCCCAAACTTATTGGTGGCATAGTGAAATCAACCCAATCTTTAGAGTACTAAAATTATAACCCTCAACCCTCACTACAACTTCGGATTTTTCATGTTATGGCAGTGACCTTTGACACTTTGAATGCGTTTTCTGTAATTTTTCCTGCAACATTCAGACAAGCTTAGGCAGTCCTCAGTTGTACTAGATGCAAACTTTTTGATGGCTTCAGACAAAAAAATTCAGTTTGTCTGATCAAACACGGCAGTGAAAGTTAACTTCTTTAGCCCTGGAGAAGAGGAAGTAATTCAATAGTAAATAACATACATCCATAATTGTGATGAAAGAATCTGAAAGCAAGAGGGGACCAACTGATGCGGCAGAAACAGTCAACATTAACCTTGAAGACAAGTCCTCTCTTGACAATGTCTCCACCTGAAAGGGGGAAAAACTCTAATTTTACAACTGACAAATAAACAACTCAAGCTCAGTAACACTGAGCTTTAAAACACATCACGCCATTTTAAGAAAAAACAAATTGAAAGGGTGTACCGTACACGCGCGCGCACATCCAGACACATATCAAACTGGTACTCCGCAATAAAATTTTATTTAATGAAGAAATTCTAATTTGAAGTTCATTTGTTCTTGAGGCACATACATGAGAATTGAGAAGCTTGGTTCACCCATAAAAAGATCAAAAATAAGAAGAAAGATCTCATAGAGTTTACAGTACTTTAAAAAAATTTACTTAATGAAGATCAAACTAATTCGAGCTTCTAGTTCAGATTACTATTCTGAAGATCTTTATATGCATGCTATAGCCTGAACCCAAACTAAACATCTCCATGTTTGGTGAATTTACTAATAGCGTTCCATCAGCATTTATATTTTTCACAAATTATCTTGTAAATGAACATGACAAATATATCAGAAAAGAATAGCATGCACACCTGACCGACCACGAAGTCCACAGAGTCTGCAATAAATGGCTCATGTGGACCATCACGTATTCCTGTTAAGATGTATCGCTTCAGCAGAAAAGAAGGGGTCCAACTGACACTGCAAGAAAAGAACATTTATGCCAACGATCTCTACTTGACTGAAATATTATGTGCGTGCATATGATGTCTATCTTCTGTTAAACTAGTAACAAATATATGAAAACCAATTAAAACCACATTGTCAATCTGCATTACAGTTATTCAGCTATAAATTTAAAGAAACGATAAAAATCTTACAAGATGGCCACTCTGTATTGCAGTTATCCACCGTTCAAACTTCAAACCCAAACCAATCATGATACAAGGTGATCTACCATGATTTACAATAGATGCATGATATTCTAATAAAACTGCATTTAATGCGCAAATGTGCTACAAAGGAACAGAAACCAAAAACAATATCTGATAACAATATTTTTGAATTTATTTGCAATGATGCTGTAAGCCATCAGTATCAAGTAACTGTGTGGAAGAATGTCATTACTAACATATAATAAACATGAACTACAGAACCATAGATATCTCTTCCCGGACCACTCTACAGTCCGCATTATCTACCTGCTAGATTAGTGTTCTTCACTTCTTCTGTTTTAAGGAAAAGACAAATCTCAAAACTCAATAACCTCCACATTTACAATTGCCTTTGGTTTCTATAAATTGAACCATTGAACAACAGAGAAGAGGATGGTCAACACTAGAAGTTGTATTTTAAATCACTAAATCACAACAGAAATAATGCGTCCATCAAGAGGTCGGTTAATTAAACAAACTGCATACACTCAACCCCAATGAAATAGCTTGAAGCCTGAATTGAAAGGCATTTAGAGGCATTTACAATGAAGTTACATGAAAATGTTACTACTACATTGCCAAACCCTTGATCCATGTCAGAAACTTCTCCTTTAGAAGGACATTTCCGCTTTATCTTACATGATGAGTACTCTCTTTTATTAACAAGTTCCTGATTTTGATTAAAATCATGGTTGATACTGAAGAAACTCGCATGTGGATCTCCTTTGATTATTTCCTTAGACTCGGCATGCAACTTATCAATAAAAACCAAGCATATATGGCCACCAAGACATCTCTTACAAGATCATAAATGAGGAAAGTTATCCCTAACCAAGGAAAAATAGTCCATAAATTACAGCATGAAAAAGCATTACAAAAATCAAGCAACATACGCAACCTATAGAAACACTTCGGGCAGAACCCTAGCAAACTGATCATAGAGAATGGATTCACATACATAGGGGACCATGGCATGGCTGCTGCAAACTTGTGTGTGTCCAAAAATGAATTTGAAAGAACTAATGATTTAACTCTCCGTGGACGGTGCTGAGCAAAAATTTGAGCTAAAAAGCCTCCAAGGGATGTGCCATAAAGATGTACCTGCCGAAACAGACTGGCCAACTATGAGTATTCATACTTCAAAAGAGGAAACACACAAAAAGCAAGATCAAACAACTAGAGCATATTGCAATACAATAAAAAAGGAAGCGCAAATACAATCAAACTTTTTTGTATATTCCTTCAAATCCTCCTAATCAGAAGCAGTAATGACAATCAGCCATATCTTAGACAATGATGGATTCGTATTCCGTTGAAGAAAGCTTTTAATTTTTCCTATGGAAGATCGAGGTTATATATAGCTTGTAAGCTAGTTTTACAGAATGAGAACCAAAAATTTTCCTAATGAATTTTAATGCATCTAGTATCAGAAAGAGGAAAATAAGAAATGCAGCTTGATTACACTTGATCTCAGTGTATACTAATTAGTATACATGAAACTATAGGTAACACTCCTTCGGTGGACAGTGGACACTGAAAGCTGAATGCCTTATATGCTAAATCTCTATCATAAGTACACTACTTCAGTTTATTATAGAAGCATGAAACTGTGGGTCTACTTGCATGAAACAAGAAAACTAGGGATAGCAAGTTCTAATAATTGGCCAGGCAATATTCAAGAAACAATGGTGTTCAGAAACAACAGACCAATATCAACTTGTCTTATTGATAAAAGAAAACAACTTATTAGGTTGCCCCTTTATGAAATTATGTTTAATACTTGTATATGTATCGTAAAAATTATACAATGATGAGATAGGGGGTATCATCAGATCTTGTTTACCATCATGGGAAAAGACTATGGAAAATCAAAATAGAGGTCCCCAAAGATCTTGATTGGTTTCCATTTCAGTCAATCAAGCCCAAAATAAATCATATCTTTCACCTTCTGCATATACGGTAATCTGTGATAATTTCATCATATGAATAAAAATGGAAACCTAGAATATGCTTCTTAAAGCAGATGGCCTTGTGACAGTGTACACTAAGTGACCAACAAAAGTTTCTGATTCCATCTCTCATCCAAGTTTTCCCCCATTTGGACCCTGCATATAGCGGGAGCTACATGCATCGAGCTGCCTTTATGCAACTTTTTGCCCGTTAAACCTAAGATAAGTATCTTCTCTGCTTTCTGCATCCACTAAAAGTTTCCACACACTAAAATTTCTGTTTGGGATAACCCTGTGCATCCATGTCGTCTCGACTACAACTATTTGGTTGCAGAGAACCAGATCCCTATAATTTTATTATCCCTTTTATTCTCTTCAGCTCCATATAGGATAATTGAGACGAGGCATTAAAGACCGGCAAAACCACATGTTAAAAGATCCTCTCACAAAATAAACTTAAGCTCTATTAGAATTTGCCACAACCCTTATGCTGGCAGGCGGCTGAAAAACTCACAACAAATCAGATTTCAGCTCTACGTTTGCCTATGGCTTTGATGACCGTCCAATCAAGGAAATTATCCAGTCAGGGAAATTAAAAGGCTTCAAATTTTGCCAGGGGACGCCATATTAAGATCACAAAGAACCTTTTGTGGATTCACTACTAATCATGTTCAAGTCCATCAGTCAAGTTGTGATTTAACCTGGGAGTTTCCCATCAACCCGTCACTTCAAGAGAAATACTGCTTCTGTCCTTAATAAATTCATTTTCAGATTCATTCCAGCCATAGTTGTATGGAACCTGGTTTATTCCGGATCACTGGACAGGTACTGAAACATGGTATGCCACTCATTGGGAATCGAGTAGGAGTGGAGTAGGCTTATACGGTACACCAGGCAACATGCTACGCTTTAGATTCGGTTCTTAGATGGTAATTGATAGCAGCAATGGTATAAGAACCTTGAGAACCATGTTGCAATTAAGATATGCATACTTTATGTGCTTAATTTCTCACGTTTTTTCTTGCTTATTCATTTAAAAAGAGTTACTTTTTGTTTCAAAACTTTAACTGCTTTAATTTACACTTTTTGTTGTTTACTCATTTAAAAAGAGTTATTTTTTGTTTCAAAACTTTAAATGGTTTGATTTCTAAATCGGGCAGCTGGAGTTGGTGAACTGGTTGTGTTCCATGTGAATCTGGGACGATTGAACCTAGGCCGCAATTCGCTATAGGGTACCACATTCCCGACTTCTACGAATTTCCAGAATTCTCATTAGCACAAGGTAAAATTGTAAATATTTCCTGTAGTTATTTGCCAATCTTTTAATGCCTTTTATTATTCTATTGACCTATTAGCTTTACTCTGACCAACTAAAATCCAAATGGACCAAACTGTTGCTGTCAAAAGATTGACTGTGTTGATTATAAATGGCAGTTCACTCTTCAAAGATGACAAACTCTCCCTCAACTTTGAAGTTTTTGTTGCTTAAAGGGTCGTTCTTTCTGCATCACACTAATGATTTTTCTTAGTCCCATCCATGATTTTTAAATAAAAGTCCTTTAATATTAGAAATATAGCATCACGATGCTAAGCATAAAAAGACGTACTAATCAAATTTATTAAATAGAAATTAGGGCTTGAAGCCAATCTTTTGACAAAATAGATTAAAAAAACAAATAATTGCAATGAACAAAAATCTTCTTGTAAAGCAAATAACAGCAACATTAAACCTCAAGCAAATTAGATTAAATAGTTGAAAACGGTAAAGTCCGCTTAAATGATCATAACTGAGCAATGCTAAAAAAAAGAAATTGAACTGCCTCACATGGTAGACATTGATTGAATCCAAGAATTTCTCAAATAATTGAATCCACTCAAGATGGTTGCAGATGCGTGGTATATCAACCGAGATCACCCGATATCCCTGCATGAAGTTTCAGGATCATATTCAAATATTAATTGAAAACAGTTAAGAGTATCTGATGACAGTATATGGATTTTTCAAGGAATGGGAATAGGAACACAAATATGGATAAGATGATGTATGTCATTGCCACCAAGATGACATCTGCTCTACATGTTTTATCGACAGTATAATTATAACTCAAACAAACAAGAGCAGGCATGCACTTATTGACGTAAGCCATAAAATGTGGAGTGACAAAGATGAAACTTTTCCTTTTTCCTTCTTTTGGTTTGAGAGAATGTGGTGTGAAATGGGTGGTAAAACATTTTCAATACTTAAGTGTGGTATAGAAGTGTGTTTTGACTTTTAAGAGAACGAACAAGGTCAGGTATTAATCAAATCTTACCTCATCGGCGTCATCGCCACCACCATCATAATCATTTAGGGTTTCTCTATCCAAATTGTCGTGGAGCAGAGCTCTAAAGTGAGAATGACTATTGAAGAGTGGTATGAAATTGTTGCGTATGGGAGTAGAGCCAGGTTATTAACATAAGTCTCATTATCATCGTAAATATCTAGCATCTTTGCATGAAACCGGATGGGACCAATGGGCTCTGGATCACAAACCTAAGTGAGAAGGCTCCACGGTACAATCTGACAAATTTTACAACATCTGCCAATCAGACAGAAACCTTCCACGTTTGTCCAGATTCATAGTTCTAGGAAAATACTCTTCCAAACAAGTGATTGACATAAAAGTAATTCTAGGAGAGTCATTTTGCAATAGGAAGCCTAACTCACCAGTTATGCAATTCTGACCTAATAACCAGGTATCAACCTTCCAAAGTATCATAAGGCTTATGAAGACAGTGATTCTGGACAAAGATACAAGTCCATGTACCAGCAAACATTTTTTGACCACCTTATTAGCCATTGAAGTACACTATGACCATTACCCTATGATTCAATGACTATAAATTTACTCCAGTCTTCATATTCAACAATAATGATAGTCTTACTATGTGCTTGAATTAGATGATGTGTTTTGCCTTACCTGGATATGCTGATATAGGCAGCAAGATGACACAAGATAAAATCTGAAAGTGCACATGACGCATGAAAAAGTGTCAACTACATAACTCATCACGCTACTACGTGCAAATATGAAATACCAGGTTTCTCATCATGCCTCACTTGGATGCAATTAAACTGATTTATAATTTAATATCTATTTATCCTTATAGAATATGACTTTAAATGTTGATAATCAGGTTGGTACTTTATATGTTTTATAATGAAAATTCAAATCCTTAGTCTCAGACCTTGAGTTGAATCTGTTTTGGATCAAACAAGTAGTTTATATACATCTGTTTCACAAGATCATGCTAATTTTAATATCCATGATGACATATGTGGTTACAACTTCTTGTGCCTTACAGATCCAGAAAAAAAAATCAATTCGAAATGTTATACTGATATGCTATATGCTGATGATAGTTTCGAGCTTTCATAATTTCACAGAAGACAGAACAATAACAATTTTTATAAGCAGACATGGTAAAAGATATGTCATCGTGTGTGACCTTTGCGCAAAAGATTAGAACTTTTGATTGCGGTCTCTACAAGTTGCAGATCAAAATAATTCAACCAGATCATGCCTACACTGTACCAACAACATCCATATTGGTACTTTCATTGGTTCTGAGACAATTTGGAAGTCTGTAAGATAAATGTGTATAGACAATTAGTTATGAGTTTAGTGCGTTTAATGTCTGAAAGCAAGTTCCACACAATCTATGTCTATGTAACCAAAATTGCATCGTATTGTATCCAGTGCTGGAAAGAACTCGGAATCAAGGCATTCGTAGGACAAGAAACAGTGAGAGAGGGAAGGGGCATGAGATGGTATCTGGAGCTTGCAACCATCAGCTGCGCAATATCTGTATTAACCATTTACTACTATCTCTGATAAAACAGGGACAACCGTTATGCAATTGTATAAACTAAAAACATCTTGACCAATATATGTAAATTTCTAGCCAACTTGCAAGTGTATCGGTGAGGCACAATATAGCATATGATTGACAGACTCTTATGTCCTGCCCTTACCCCGATAACAACCAAATTAGTACCATGAAGAGGGGATTATATGGACAGGAAAGTAATTTTGATGACATCTGTTATTTTCGCTAGCCAGAGAAAGCAACCAGATGTGCGGACAACTCTTTCATACTACTATTTGACTTCAACGTGATAGGTCAAACATGGTAAATATTGCTAACATGATCAAGTCTGACTCTGCTTATGGCCAGGATTCACAAGTAAACGCTTCTGCCCGTATTTTAAGGTAGCAAATTAGTTAGCCTAAGAAAAGTGGACTCTTTTCCGACATTAGACTTCAGATAAAAGTTAGGAATTTCTAAAAAAAAAGGCTGATATTGTTTTGATTGAAAAACATCAATCTCACCCAATGTACATGTTTACTACGTACACAAATAAATAAAACACTACGTTAAATAAAAAGGAAAAGGCATTGTACCTTCATGGACAACGACAATATCTGTTTGTAATAAACATCAGCAGTTCCTGCAATCCCCGGAAGGCAAATAAGCGGAGGCACAGCCTTAGGACCAAAGTCATAATATCTCCACTGTTTAGATCCAATCTGAAACGAAGGAAGACAGTATTTGATTCTAAGGAACACGCGAAACCATCATAAACTGAAATCAAAAGTGAAGCCGTTAAGCTACTCAAGCTCCCATCACGAGAGTTCAACTCCAATATTTGTTTATAAATTGTTATATCTATCAATGACCTGCATACAATCAGACGCACTTATAGCAGGATGTTATCCAATTAACTAATGGCATGTTTGGATGGAGGGTAGAGAGAGGGAGGGGAAGAGAAATCTAATTTTAACCTTGTTTGAGAGTTTCATTTAGGAGAGTAGAGGAGGGGAATGGGGGGAAATTTGAGCCAAAATCTTACACCCGACCAAATTGGGGTGTAATGAAGGGTAAGGGAAGGAAGGGGAACTTTTCCACTTCCCTCCTCTTCCTGCGCTTCCCAAAGTCATCTCCCAAACATACTGTAAGGTTCTTGAGTTTAGGTGGTAAAATTCAGAATGTTTGAAGATTGCATATATCGGATCATCGTCCCCTCAGTCTAAAGACTTCAACACTTTTGATCAAAACGAGTCTTTTTTTCTTTTCTCCTTCATAAAAAACAACAAAACTTGAAGATCCCAAAAACCTGCTCTAATAAAATTCCTTTCTCTGACTCAATTAATAATAACAACAGGATTATACTCTTTTGCTGGAATTGGAAAAAATTAGGGGGGAAAACAAAAAAAAAAGAGAAATTGAGAGAGAGAAAGAGGGATCATACAGAGATCTTGTGCAGAGGGACTTTGGATTTGAAGTAGACGTAATCTCCCGGCGCCGATGAGACGCCTTTCATCGCTCTCTTCTCTTCTCTTCTCTCTCAAGATTCTATTTATTTATTTATTTTCCAATAACGCTTATTATAATAAATCAATGATCAGTTAACTCGAGCGCAGGAGAGAGAGAGAGAGAAGAGGAATGGGGAGGAGCGGAGGAGCACGTGTAGTTGTGGCAAAGGAGAAGAGAAATGATTGTCGACAGTGGGGGCAGCTTTTGGAACCTCCCTCTCGGATTCAAGAATTTGAGCAAAGGGGGGAGCAATTAATTTTGGATTTGGATTATTTTTACCGTCAGGAACTACGGAAAGGACCAATTTAAGTTCAACACTTGTTATGTCTTAATATCTCTGTTTATTACACTCATGCTCATTAGTTATTTGAAAAGAATCACAATTGCCACCTCGACAATAGATGATCATGATTAGAATACGAAAATCTCTACTACGTTTCGTTAGTAGAGAAAATCTGAATTGCATTAGGTTCTATGAAAAATAAATTTTTTATTATTTATATATGTAAGTAATATATGAGCAATAATAACTTTTTAAGGTCCGTGACAGGTATATTCTCAGTATCTTTTATGTTCCCGAAATTTGCTTCTTCCAAATTATCATTTGTCAATTTATAGCCTTCTAACTACAGAGGAAACCAGAAAATTGTCTAATTCTCATGAGGGAGAACGTTAATCTTTTAGAATTTTGGCTAGCATGCTCTTGATTTAATTATAATCTTAGTCTTTTTTGGATGTACCTCACTGTCTTATTAGCAGAAGATAAACAATTCATATCATATAATTAAAAGGATAAGTGAGAAACATGATAATTTGTAAGATATATTTTTATGATTTAATTTTCTCTTTATCGAATTAAGTTCACATAGAATTCCACTCAAACGATTAAGCGAAAGGAGGCCAGAACAGCCAAAACTAACTTTAAAATTACTGAGAAACATAGAAGGGTGACGAAGAAGATGGAAACCCGTAGCACGCGTCAGCTCCTTCGCTATCATATCTGCACAGTCAGGGAGCTGCCTTCGATAAACGCGATATGCCACATTGCATCATCTTCGCTTGCAGCACGTCAAATCAAATGTTTCAGTGTGTAGGCTGTCAGCACTTTATTTCTTCTACGATGTTGTAATAAACTACTCTAAAATAAATCACGATACAACAGGGGATCACAGATCACTATAAAAAAAATAATCACACGCGAAAGCTCTCAACCCAAACAAAATCTTTAGTTTTAAGTACGACCATGCAAAACAAAAAAAAAAAAACATCGCATACTTCTAATTATGTAACTTTATTCTCAGAGCACCTCTTTTGGTGGCTGTCGTTCGATACAGAATCAATTATAGGCAACCATCCAGCTACTGCTATGTTTCCAATCAGCTGCATCATGACTCTGTATGTATGAAGCAAGTTAGTAAAATCAGGCTTCAAGGGATGGAAAAATGACAAGATGTTATATGTTTCACAAGAATATGATGGAAACAAAAATTCTTTCTGAGCTAAATATAGACAACACATTCATAGATGTTTCTTGCATACACACCAGAACTCCAAAAGAGGCCAAAAAGAAAACTAAAAGATGCCAATAACACCATTCAGATTGTTTCAACATACAAGAAGTCAAATCTGGAAACAGAGCAAGAGGTAAATCAGATTTCCTACTGAGCACACCAAAACACTTCCAGAAGAAAACCGAAACTTTCCATTCTTTATGCTCCTTTGCTTGCTCTGCAGACATAATTTAGAATGATGAGTTTGTACGCATAAAATTACCAGATTCAAACTCTCAATACAGAGACAGACGCGGATATTGAAGACAAAAGCAATTGAAAACAAGGCGATGAATCCAATACAAAAGATGCATATTTAGATTGGTTTTGTTACAAGAATAATAAAATTTGAGATATTTTCAGCTCAATATCACATGCATACAGAAATATTACATCATTAAAATCAAAGTAAGCATGGTAAGCATATTATGAAATGTAAAAAAACCAAAGGAGGGAAAATCACAAACCAGCACACCCTCCCCCCACCCCCCTTAACGGGATGTTGCAGCATATATATGAAGCATCTCCATATCCAAACACCAACCTCTCCCCTCCCTCCGTCTCTCATCCTTCAACTCTGAACAAATGTGTTGAGTATCCCCCGACCCCCCCCAAAACTCCCCCGCCCTCACCGGGTAGTACTTAAGAGACCTTCAAATTTTAACTGCTTATATAAAAGAAAAAAAGGTTGTTTTTACACATGGATCCAAGGTTATCTAGTTCATCCTCTAAAAAGTTGTTTTACACTTACACTTGGATCTTTGGTTCCTGTTGTTCATCCTCTGTCCCTTGACATCAGACTATGTTGATCAGAGCCTTCTTTATCCCTTCACCAGCATTACAAGTTCTGACTTCCTATGACATATTCGGTTCTCTGGTTCTTGAAAGGTAGAGTCTGAAAATGTATTATTTCATACTGGGAAAAGAAGGAGCAATATATTTTGGTTGAGTAAGAGAAGGTGTTAAAAAAGAACTTTCAATATGCTTGAGCTTCTCTTAACCAACTAAATGATGTGTTAAAACACAACTTCTATGCTACCCTTCCAACTATGTACGATGTTCTACCTATCTATCATGCGCCTAAATCTCTTATGAGGTTTAGACACAGACACTAGAGTCTAGTGTCCTACTTCGACAGATAATGGGTGCAGGACATGGCAATTGCCCAAACTCAAGATCCAAGGACACGCCTGTATGCGTATAATTCTTCAGAATTTATCTACTATGGCTTGTATAATATATGACTAGGTTGTTATTCGCATATGACGGGACTTAATTTTAGTAAAAACCATCTATGAAGAAATAGATTTTGTAAAAGGGGCTTATTAATACTGTATACATGTTCAAGGAGTGTAACAACTTTACATAATCGCAAGTGTCACATGGATGAACAGTGGTGTTGTGCCGATATGCCTATCTCCTGAACAAGGTAAGCATCCTACTTAGAATAGGAATATCCTTCCAAATATTTGACCACCTCTTGGTAACAGGTTAGAATCTCCACAATCCTAAAGACATTATATCTGAAAATCGCTATTGACACAGGCAACTAACTTCAGCTAACTACACAAATTTACTGAAATTCTCCCTCTCCCATTCGTGGTAATAAGAGAATTAGAGATGATTAACATGTTACCATTTGTAACCGGTGCTATCAGGAAGTTCCAGCATGTGCTGTCGGAAGTGTAATTCAGGAATTTTAATGTCATAATTTTGGTTCAGGCTCCATAGAAATTCAAACTAATCACCAGTTCCCAATACACATTCTAATCTTGACCAGAACTGGAACACTCTGTTCCTGCTATTAAATAACACATATACCCTAACTCTATTTGGCACTACTTAGGTACACATACTTGTTTGTTGACAAGCTATAAAGCAATTGAAAGAGAGAAAACTTCGAGAGATAGTTTGTAGACATGGCTACAAGTGTCCTACTTGTACAAGGTGGGGCACCGGGGAATTCTGTAGAATTTTGACATCAGGACACATCTACATGTGTGAAATTTCCTTTAATATATTTATATTCAACTCATAGGTATACATTAGGTTGTTATCCATATCATGATATAAAAATATTATAAAAAACAGCAGAACAATTAGCTTTGCCATGAGAAGGCATACAGTTCTCATCGATTACATAGTTCTAGATATGAATAAATCGCTATATGTCTGTACATGTCCTGCACGAATGGACATGATTATCATGACTAGCAAAGTCCTACATACCATTTTGGCTTTGAGCTAAATATCACAGGCTACATGAAAGCACTTTGAATATTCTTAAGTTATGAATTATATGCTGAGATGCTTTTAAGATTTCCCCCTCCGTGTGTATGTGTATGTTCACATGTTCCCTGTCCCTCTATCTCTCTCAACCATCAGTTAATCATTGTTTACATTTGCATATAGCATACCTGCTATTGTTGCCAAATATGAAGCCAAATTGTTTAGTTATCAAAGCACGAAGGACATTGTGGTACTAGAGTAGAAGATGAACTCACTGAAACACGTTATGAATTGATTGAAATGTATTATCTACAAGAATATCAAGCACTGAGATAGTCGAAGGTAAATGCAAGAGCTGTTCACCATAATGGCATTAGAGGGGAAAAAAATTCTTCTTTAGAGAGGAGCATTCTTTACACAAAAAGGTTTGATTAGCGCAGGTAATAAAAGTATAAAACCTTACACAATCATGGCTAAAGTTTACAAGAAAAACTGAAAAGTGAAAACTGAAAAGATAATACAAATATGCAGATTGAATTAGGTTGATTAAGAATAACCCTGCAGTTGGACAATTTGAGGGCTAGGGCTACGGCAAGATAAGCATCTCACAAGACAACGTCAAGGCAAGTTAGGAGCAATTTTACCATAAAAACATGAAAGCTCCATAGTTATCTGTAAAACCCAAAGGCTTCTAATTTCTAATTGGTGGTAATCTCCAAACTGGCATAAAACAGTAATTGGTTGCCTTGGGTTAAGGTAATAGATGTTTCAGCTGAAACAATTGAAAACATGTCTGGCATTGAGACACTACTACGAACCTAAACAAAGTATAAGAAAGTATCAAATTCTACCTCAGTGACATACCAAAACATTGTTATCGAGGCGCGCGCCCCAGGCGCGGGTGGCTGCGGGCTGGGACAATTGCTCCCCGCACCAGAGGTGGGGCGCTACACGCAAGCCTCGCACGCGCCTCGTGTGCGCTTGACACCTGCGTCATGTAATACTCTATCTTCTGTTTTTTTTTATAATTTACATATTACATATTTACATCATGTAATAGACTCTTTCTTGCTAGTTGCTAATCCATTCTCCATCTTTTCATATTTAACCTATAAAAAGGAAACATTAATTAGTAATTCAGTATACTTGTTTGCTAATTGTAACTTCCTTCTCTAATTAGCATGCTAACTAGAAAAATTATGAACATGTAAATATGTAATTGTTACCTCCATTCTCTATTTTTTTCATGCTAACTAGCAAATAGCAATTAAGAATGCTAACTAGAAAATTATGAACAATCATGTTTTTTTAATCACTTAATTGTTACTTAAAAATACATATATCACATTTTAAATAAATATATATATTTCTTATTTGTTACTTGCTTGTTTTGTTTCATAGACTTTTGCTTATGTTGGAGATTATCTTGCATTCTGATTTGTGGAAACTTACGA